GGTTGCAGAGGAATGGTTTGCTTCTTGTTTATCATTTGGTAGACCTTTTGTTTGTTTGCAATTTATTTGCCCTTGGTTCTGCATACTTGTTGCTAGAATGATAGAAGTTGTGGGACTAGAAAGGGAAGTGTATAATTTCATTTCAAGCCAAACTCGAGCAATGGAATGACGAACAAGTTGTGGGATGACTTTCAAGCTGGACTTATTTGAATTTTTATGTTGTACTAGTACTTAATTAATATAAGATGTTGTACTTGTATTGTGTTTATTTGTAGTTTAAAAACTATTTAATTCGAATTAAAAATTATAATCATGGCTAGGGTTGTATGATAATCAATAATCAGAAAACAGAATGAAGCAACTAAACAGGTTTTCATTTTCAGAACTCGGCTTCGGAACTCACCAAAATTCTCAGCTAAACAAGGTTTTTTCAGGTTTTGTTTTCCAGGAAATGACAGCTTCATTTTCGTTTTAATTTTGTTTTCTGTTGTGGCAGCTAACAGAAATGGAATGACAAGTAAACGGCCCATAAACTTAACCCCCCAAGTTATTGATGTTCCTAATAATTATCCTACCATAAAGAAGAAGGGAATCCCACAAAAGGTGGGTTTCCAACAATTTTAAATTATAACACTAAACACATACTATATCATGAAGTCGACAAACAGACACTCATTCTTAATACGGTTTAAAACATCTCATCCTAAAACATCAATTAATCTATAAGATATAGTACAATGTAATCCAAATGATTATTCTCGGACTCTGATCCATATAGCAAGTAATAACTTACTAACATAATCTTGTTAACACAAGGGAAAAAGTGAAAGAGTGAAGAGAGAGTTGAGGGAAAAGAATTATGTTTTGATTTGGGTGGCCACTCAATTGCATTTCTACTATTTATTTTCTTGAGTTACTCTCATTATCATTGATAGGTTACTATTTGATCCACGATGGGGCGGGTATAGGTAAGGGTATGGGGCAGGGAGGCTATGACCATGCCCGCTCTATACCCATCAAACGCTTTGCGAATTTTACTCATACCCGCCGCATACCTAGTCGATGTGGGAATTCCCCGAGTTGACTGGATCGGGAGTGGTTGGGTAACCACAATCATGAGTTTCACTGCCATCCCTACTAAAAAAATCATTACATATTTGACCCAAGAGAAACATCAACAGATCACCACAACGAAACCACATTTCAAACAACATACAACAACAAAAACCAAATGAACCAACAAACAGACACACAACAATGTTGTTGTTCACTAATAACTAACTAACTCAGTACTCCTAAGCAGCCATGCACCCGATCCCATACCTAGTATCAGGATTCACCAAGAACAAGTCACTGCACACAACACCCACCATGAGCGGGAAACCCTCCATCACCTCATCAGGATGGTGACATGGGTGCAGCGGAAGAGTACGATTGAGGAATTTTACCACGTACAACAATCACAACATATTCTCAGGGGAGCTTAGGTGGATCTCAATCTGCCCGGTACTAGAAAATGAAAGAAACTATTTGGAGATTTATGGAATTTTGATCGAACAGAGAGTCATGCTAGCCGTGATTTACTTTGAGCAAAGACAAAAACATATGGTTTGAGGCGGCGGGGCAGATCCAGGAATTTTATATAGGGGTGTACTCTCCCCTAAAATTAAATTTAATTAAATATTAGACTTAAATTAATTAATTATTAAATATGAAAATATCTAACTAATAAAAGTTACATTAAAAGTTCATACGTGTTTCGTAAAATGGTAAAATTCATCCGGTGTCTATACCGCTCAACAAATATCTCTCGACATATCCTATTAGACAAGGATATCCGGTAATTGGGTTCGATCGTTAAGTTTTGAAAAATAAGAATAACATTTTACTATTATATTTGGATCTAAAACACTATGACAAATGAGTTGCAATGTAATTGAAAATAGCTTTACTAATAAAGGCAGTGTCCAAATTTAAATCACATAGACTACTACTTTAATATTATTTGTACTAATACGCAAACCACTACGGGAGGTTGGATAATCATTTTCTCAACTTGTAAGGGTATCCCACTACCATTTAAACATTTTTTTTTACTTATATGCAAACTACTATCGGAGGTTGAATAATCGTGTTTCTAAATTTTAGAAGTGTCACGGGACACCCCTAAACATGCATGTATCCGCCACTAGTTTGAGGTATGGGTAGCTGGCTGAAGAGATTTCGTTTGAAAAGAATCCATAACTCTATTTATGAGGTTTAGTGATAGGAGTTATGGGAGTGTCGTTGGTGAGTTTAACAAGTTACAACTGTGAGGATCATTAATGTACTATCAGGAGAAATTCGAGGAGCTCAGATCTGACTCCAATTCAAGACCTATTCCTCATGTTAAATTCATTCCTATACCTAAAGGTAACTTCACAAAAGTGGCTTGTTACAAATATGAAGTTTACTAAACTTCATAAATCTCCAACTTTTCTTTGATAAGAATGGACAGGAAGTGTCTCTAAGGGACTACAAGAGTTTGGGGATTGCAAGACCATGTATGGAAGGGGACTACAGAAAAAAAAAAAAAAAAAAAAGATAGAAGGTTCCTATATGGGCAGGTCAACTGTTCAGTATCACTACCCTCCTACATTACCAGGTAAGATTCTTGAATCCTCAGATCTATGGTAAGTGAGTATGTTGATGTGTTTGACAAACCCATATTCTTATCCCTGTCCACAATAGAGTACCTCAATAGATACTGATACACACCAAATTTTAGTGCAACACTCAACATAGGTGACTTAATACATGCTTGTATCTATGTTGATAATTGGTATGATTTTGGTTTAACCAAATCGAATTGTCGGTTAACCATCTTCTATTTGGGGCCATAATGCCAACCTCAAACAACACAATGTTAGGAATATTGGTTAGGAGAAACTGAAATCGAGTAGGCCGATTATCCGTAATCAATCGCGAATTACATCAGCCCTCTCCAACTTCCATCCATCATTTTCTATGCCTTTCCTGAAATCTCACAATTTATGGCATGAAATTCCATCTCCCATCTCCCATCTTTCCTTGCATCTATTAATCAACCAAAGAAGCCTCCATTAAGCTATTCATTCCCTTACGACTTACACCTTCACTTCATCTCTCCTCATGAGTCACGACATAGAGTTTCAAGCAAGAGTATGACTTTTTTAGGTTGATTTCGGGGCTATTGATGTTCTAGACGAGAAGAGCTTTTTCACACGAAAAAGAACACATATGGGAAGGGACTGAGGAGCAATTGAAGCAAGCTTGCTCGAGAATCGTCTCTTGGCAGAAAAGGAAGGATGAGGCGGCGTGGTCGAGAGGCTGGTCGCCATGGGCAATGAGCAAATTAGTCAAAATCGTGCTTTTAGACTTGAATTGTTCATGTAAAAGCTACCATATCTAAAATATATGCAAGGCGACGACCGACATGACCAATTCGGCCATATGATGACGCCGACGCGATGAGAGAGAGATGCAATGGAGGGATAGGGATTTAGGGTTCGTGTGTCTCTGGCGTGGGATTTGGGGAAAAAATGGGAGGCGGTGTAGAAGTTCAAAGGGAGGTAGGTTATGATGTCGATTGTCGAGGATGGAAAAACGACACCATTAAGACTTGTGACTTGTGAGGACTTAGGGAATGTGGTGTCGTGGGTCGGGTGTGTTGTTGATGCATAGTGGTTAGTTGCGATTAACCGATTGTTTAGCGTTTTTGTAACCGACAACCAAGTTGTTGTCCGACAAACGTAAAAGAGGTAACCGACACCGATACCGCATTCATCTATCGGTTATCGGTTAGTTGACTAATCGACTTTCTCGATGCGATTTTGCTATTATCCGGATAGCCCTCGTGATTAGGGCTGGAAGTTTGGTACTGGTATTTGGAATATACCGAATACCGTACCGAATTTATCATTATTTGGTATTTGCCGAATACTGACTTATTTTTTAGGGATTGGGATTGAGATTCATTTTGGAGTCCTATTCGGTATTCGGGATTACGGGATTGAGATCAGTATATACCGAAATTCCGAGAAATACCGAACTTTAAAAATTAATGAAATATAGCACACAACTTTTAGTCATTCCTCACTCTTTCACAACTTATAAGCCCCCATCCAACTCAATTTTGACTTTCGAGTTTAAGCAACTCTCATTTTTCACCTAATCTCTTGTTATTTTCATAACACCAAAAGGTAAACATTAGTATTAGTCGTTTATCGGCCTCCAATTCGTCAAATTAAAGATTACCAATGACAAAATTTTGAGATGTCACCTCTCTTCCATTCTTCTTATCCATATCCTAGTTCTAGGCAAACTCAACACTCTTCGTTTAGTCTCTTTGTCCTAAATTAACAATAAAATCTAATTTATAAATTTAATTATTAATTGCAAAGGTAATTAATTTCATATTCGATAATACCGATTGGGATACTGAAATATTTAGGGATTGGGATTGAGATACCGAAATTATTTTGGGATTGAAATTGGGATTGACTTTAGAGTATAATTCGGTATTTGGTATTGGGATACTGATACCGTACCGATTTTCACAATAAGCAAGAAAGACTAATCGCACACAATGGAAAGCCTCCATGCATGAGGTGAATTATTAAAGTGCATCTAGAATCTAAGATGAAATGTTCTCTCTCTTTTACCCATTCACTTACTTATAAAACCGGCTGTTTCTATCTAATCAATCGGTCAATATGATACCATTGTCCATTAATTTACCCTTAAAAGAACACAACCTCAAAATTATCTGTGCATGTGTCTTGACTCTTGACCTTGAAACAAGAGAAGAAGTCCTTGTGCTTGAAAAAGACGCGGCAGCGGGATATTTATTTTTCCAAACGGATAAACATCAACAAACACAAATAAACAAAATATTCAACAAAATGTAAATTGTTGGAAAAGATCTACATAATTCCCGAACGCGCCCTGGACACTGGTAAATCAGAAAGAGCTCATCGCCCCGCTAACATTCCAGATCCTTCTACACTCTTCTTCCCCGTTCTCCAATGGCCCAGCTGCCAAAACCCTTTAAAAATCCCCACTCAACTTTTTCCATTCTTCATCATCATCATTCCATAGATTCACAATTCCTCCTCGTCAAAAGCTTCAATCTCCCCCTTTCTCCTCCATCTTCGTAGCCGTCTCTGTCTCTCTGCGCGAGCTCAAATTTGCTACAGCCATGTCGTCCGACGCTGAAGTCCCGGAGATCGCAGCTTTCTTCGAGAGGCTTCTCTCACGGAACAGAGACCTCTCTCTGTTCATCCCTTTCATGCTAGGGTTGGCCACCGCCCCAACCAGAGACGGGGGAGAAGAAGCAAACACGGACCAACAACAAGGCTCCGATCAACCCAATTCCAATTCCGATGCAGCGAGTTCAGGGCCGGTCGACAGGATCGTCTTCGTCAACCCTTTCACCCAAAGCACGGTCATGATCGAAGGAGCTTCAGGTGGGTTCGATTCTCTGCTTCGGGATTGGCTGCTAGCCAGCCAGAGTAATGGCGGCGGTGGTCAGCCGCCTGCTTCCAAGGCCTCGATCGAAGCCATGCCGACCGTCGAGATTGGGGAAGAGGGTGGAATTGAGGGCGAGTGTGTGATCTGTTTGGAAGAGTGGAAGGCTGGGGAGGTTGTTAAGGAGATGCCTTGCAAGCACAGATTCCATGGCGGTTGCGTGGAGAAGTGGTTGGGGATTCATGGGTCTTGCCCCGTTTGCAGGCACCAGATGCCTGCCGAGGAGAAAGATTCGTTGAAGAAGATGGAGAGTGATCGTCAGCAACAAGAGGGACAAGAAGGAGCTGGTGGGGAAGAAAGGAGGGAGAGGAGGAGGACTCCAAGGGAGATTTGGGTTAGCTTCACTATTGGTGCTAGAACGACTGGTTCTGGTGACGCTACTGATTCCGCCCCAAATTCTGGCTCAGTCTGAGATTAGGGTTAGAGATTGATTTACAAAGAATTCAATTTTCGTGCTTGTTTTGTTTGTTCTTGGTTCCTCATTTGTTACGCTGTACAGGGCAATAATGTCGAGATTGTTCCTCTCTCTTTCTATGAATATATAATTGGATGGATAGTTTGGTTATATATGAAATTGAGCTGAAAACATGTATTGATCATATTTTCGTCTGCAACTATCAACCCATCAACTCAATACACACTAAAATCCTTATCAACAACTGACACAACACCACACCCACCATGGTAATTGAGAAAGGTCGCAACTTTATTTCTGCAGAAGTCTCTCAATTCTTCACCAGACTGTGACCCAGCAACCCTTTTAAGCAATTGAGCCATCTTCACTCATTGATTCATGTCTTTGTGCTTCGTTGGGTATTTGAATAACTATACATGGTTTCTTCTAGATTCTGTGGTCTTTAGTTCTTGCTTGCCTTTGGATTCTGGCAATGCCATTGTTGCCTTTGGAGCTCACTGGTCGGTTGCCGCCTTCGACTATGAAATTGAATCCTTTTGTTGTCCCTGCAACTTGTGTGCGCCGGGAATCGGTTTTTGCTGGTTTGGAGCAACCAGAAGTGCGATTCCGGGGTTTTCCATTCCATGACCAACCTTGCTTGAGTTCAACACTAATGGGATGCCGAGTTGGTGAAGATGGGATGTACAAGGCCGCTGCGCAGAAGGATCTGTGGGCTGCCTAAAGCCCCATCTGACAACAATATCACATCGCTGCCAAGGTGGTTGAAATAAGCTTCATAAGCCTGATCTGCTGTAGATATGACACTCTTGACTGTTGCTTTCAAGTTTCAACAGAACTGTGATGTTTGCTGGGTTCTGCAGAAGATCTTCAGAGTCGACCTAGAGATTAGAATGGTAATGGGTCGCCTGGTTGGATAATTTGATCCAATTGGATGTTGGATGGCGGATACAAATGGTTCATTTGTAGATTTAATGGTTTTAAGTTTTAATTAGGTTTAAATTTGGTTCAATTCATTTATATCCGGCCCAAATGGTTCTATTTGGTTTAGGCGAATGTAAACGTGAAAAGATAATATCAATCATCTTATTAATTATTTTTAACTCAACTAAATTTTAATGTTCGTATTTCTACCTTTTAGTTTATTTTTTTAATAAAAAAATATATAAAAAAATATATTAAAATTGGATTATTCATTTTCTTTTAGTATTCAATATTATAAGTTCAATTTAGAATTAAATTAGAAAGTTGGATATGAATATATATCAAAAAGTAAAATTACACAAAGTTAATCTAACTCATACTGAAATAGGTTTGAGAGTGATGTAAATATTGTGTGTTTTCTTACCGTCGACCCACCAATTTTTGTTCCTTCAATGTGCTCCCAGGTGAACCCATTGTAAGGAAGGATCCCATGAACAAGGGCTTGACCTATTGATAATATCACCAGTATATAATCTATAAGTTTCAGGTTTGAATCTCTTAAATAGTACCTTAATGTTATAATACTCCATTTTTGGTTACAAATGCCTAAGCAACTAATGAGAACTCATCAGTTTGGAGAAGAGAGAAGCCATAGAAGAGTGAAATCATGTATGGAAGCTAGGGTTGCAAATTAGTCAAGCCGCTCGCGAGCAACTCGGCGTTCGAATCGGAAAAAACTCGTTCGACACTCGACTCGTTGTTTAAACGAGCCAAGTTTGAGCTAGGCCATGCTCGGCTTGATAAGCTCGTGAGCTAGCTTGACTCGGTGGCTTGTTGAGCTAAGCTCGCGAGCTGGCTTGTTTAAAGCTTGTGGAAGGATTAATTACTCTACTGAACATGAAAATTATCTTGTTAATAAGGATGTGTATGGAAGTTAGATGTTATTTTTAGTTTCTAGTGTTCTTTTTATTATTTTTAATTTCTAATGTTCTTATTTGTACACATTTTTCAGCAAGAATGGTTTCAAATCGAGCTTATCTTGAGTCGGGCTTGTACTCAGCTTGACAAACTGTGTTAATGAGCATTTATCGAGCTCTATCGAGCCGAGGTTGAGCTGGATTATTTTTAATCGAGCCGAGCTCGAGCTCGAGCTAAAAAATTTATAAAGGAGCCGAGCTTAATCTAAGTAAAAACTCGACTCAACTCGATTCGGTTCGTTTGCAGCCATTGGAAGCCTTGATCCTTGATGGGGAGCAGACTGAGAGACAAGTAAAGAAGCAGCAACAACGGGAGAAAAGCTGCAACAAGCCTGTCGCCATAAGCTACAATGAAGGCTCGTGATCTCTTAGGGTATGTATGTTTTTCTTGTTCATCCTAACAATGGCTATTGTTGCTTAAGAAGTTTGGAACAGAGGCTGTGACCCATTTCGGTGGAGTTAATGATTGGTCCAAAATGTTCCTTAGGCAGTAATGTAGCAATTTGGAAGCATGGTTTTGGCTAATAATGCACTTTGATGTCATGCATAATGATCTTACTTCTGCAATTATTTCTTTCTTCCTTTTTCTTTTTCTCCTCAGCCTTTTAAGATATTTTTCTCTCTTCTGCTCTTTGAACTGAACTAAGTTCAACCCAAAAGGTAGTGTGAAATCAAAGTGGCCCCTCAGGCCCTTATCTATAATGTTTGCTGAGAACTCCTGTCGACATTTGCAGTAAAATTCCTACTCATGATTTACTATTTACCATTCCTTTATCGCAAAATCTGAGCATGACTAGTGCCTTAAATCATTATTCGAAGGCAAGTCCCATTATCTCCTGAAAGTAGGAACTAGGAAGCAAAGAGAAAAGACACTGTTCTCTCCTCTTCTTCTTCTTGGCCTCCAAAAGAGAAAAGATGCCATAGCAACTCAGACTAAAGATATCTATAAAAATGCGCATTGCAGGCATAAGTATTCACAGTACCATCGTTCTAACTTTATATAATATTAACATTTGTTTAACCTGATGATGCACTTCCAACAGCCTCCTGAGTTGTTTTTTTCCAGACATTTTCAAGTGACAAAAATATACATTGATAAGGTCTATTGACTATGGACAAGGATATCGATTCGTCGAACTTTTGACTTCTGCTGCAGTTGGCTATCATATCACCAGAACCATTCATTCTCCTGTGTATATTAAAAGGTCCCAGGAAAAAACCCTTTGTCGAGCTCAAACTCCATTGCAATTCAAGTCGATAGATCTCGGACTGGTCCTGGCCTCATTTTCATACTCATTGTTCAGATCAAATGTGGTTGTGGTTGTTCTGCATCTCTTAGCCGATGGCTGTTGATCCACACAGATACCGTCAGGAACGCTCTTCTCATTTCTCTTCTTCCCTGGATTGCTCGATGTACTCTGATTGGACAGATCTTGTGGTTGAACTTCCATTAGAGCTAACTCAACACAATTTGTACTGGAACCATGCTTTTGGACAATACCTTCCTTACGTTCAGAATTTTCGGATGATGTCAATGAGCTGTCCATGGAACATACTGGGCTCCGAGCAAGTTTTTTATCTGCCCATTTCGGGCTAGAACCTGCACCTGTTTCTGTTTCGGTCAAGTCCGAGATACAAGAACTAGTGCTGCATCCAGAGTTCACCATTGAGACCAGTTTAGAGAGCTCAGCTTTTGCCAGCTCTATGCCGACTGAAGATGAACTATACACTGTTAATGTGTCATGTGCCTTCTTCAGTACTGATTGTAAGTACTTCCCTTGAGCTTCTATTCTCAGCTGCAAATGTCTCTGAACCTGGGGGCGGAAAAAATATCACACAACATTATGGAACGTAACATAAACACTGCTAACGATTTCAGGCAGGAAGAAAAAAAAAAGAGTATGGTGATGAATGTGTTGTTGTTTGTTACCTCAATCTGTTCGTGTAGTTTTCTCTGAACTTCCATTTGTAATTGGAGAGCTTGAGCAATCTGCAAGCTTCTGCAGGTAAATGAAGCCACCAGGAAAATTAGCAGTTAAGTGGTTACAATTTTTCGTTTTCTGGATTCATGAACATAAAGAGGTAAGGCTATAGTTGAGCATTACTCATTGATTGGCCTGACATGTTCATCACTAGTTTTCCTATTTAATTGGCCGTCGGTTCTTTGAATCTCGCGAGTCTCCGTATCAAAGGGAGCTGCAGACAACAAGAAATCAGGAAAGGCGCGAGGCAGTATTTCTTTCATAAACTTTGAAGTTAGCTAATTGTCAGGCCACTCACTTTCTTGCTTTGCTTTGATATCGGTCACCAATTGCTGGCTCTTTCCTAGTCTGTACTTCTGCAACAACACCATAAAGGACAAACAATGAAGTCAAACTCCTGACCTCCAGTGTCGCTTAAGAAAACCAGATATTGGTAATCGAATCAATGGAGATGAGAGCAAATGCCTGCAAATGGCTCTTGAGATGGTACAAAGTCAATCCAGGAATCGCCATCACCTTCATCAGGCTCTTTGGTGTAGCCTCTGCAGCCCCCAAGAAAGTACAAAGAAGAAGAAAGAACAACAACACATTCAATACAGAGGAATAATACATGATCAACAATGTCAGCGTCTCAATGATGAACACACTTACTTTCTAGACCTCCGAGTTGATTGACAGCATCGACGAACCTCTGATGGAGCTCAGCTGTCCATTTCAGTCTAGGCTTTGCATCAGTTGACAGAACCAAGTTCATATTTTGATTTTGATTGCTGAGACTTGGAGAGCCGTTATCCTCCATTTTGTATGTGTAAGCATATAGGAGTAGAAGATACCCGAGACAGAGAAATATAAATTCAGAAAGAGGAAAGCAGAAAGCTCCTGCCTTTCTCTTTCTTTTCTCCCTTGAGAATGATCCTTCAAAATTCCTTCCTTCTTGGCTGCTGTGGAGGATGGATTTGCGAATGAATGTGGGCAACAAAGAGATGCGTGCAGCACCCTTGTATTTATATTATTAGCTCTTGGTAGTAGTAGTAGTTGTTGGTGAGTGTCCTTTGTTGCTGCTCTCACTCCATATCTGGAAACAAAGAAGGTGGGGCTGTGTTTGGAGAGAAGGGAATATATGCCCATGAGCTGGTCGCCAAAGCTTTCAGTAATTTCATACCAACTTTTTTTTTGGTAGTACAAATAATATATTTTTGGGCTTTCTTTCTTGTTTGACTTGAAAGAAGAGAAGGGGGCGTGGTGTGGTGGGAATGGGATGAGAATCTTTGATGAATGATGAAGAGAGAGCTAAGAAAAGAGGTAAAGAGAAACAGCAGAGAGAGTTCAATTTTGAGTCTCCTCCCCTGCCTGCTGCTGTGATCATCTCTGAAAAGAAGAGAAAAAGAAGGGGAGGGAGGATGGAGAGGCAAACAAAAGTGGATGGTTTGTTTTTATCCTTTTGTTTTCCCACACCCACCATTTCTCTCTTTGTTTCTTTTTTTTGTTATTATTATTCTTTATTTTCCAATTTTGCTGATATTATATATGTTCGTTTTGTTTTGTTTTTATAAAAAAGAATTTAGGGCACCCTTGGTTATGCATTTGTATATAACCTCGTGATAAGTCTAATGCGCGAGAAAAAAGATTATTTTATTTATTTTACTTTTTTAATCGACTTGTATTTTCTTTGTTTCAACTTGAATTTTTTTTTTAAAAAATTACATTAGATTGAACAGATTTATTGTGATCCACAAACTGATATTCATTTCTGATATATTTTGAGAAAATATTTTTCGTATCACTCCTTACCATATTGTAGTACCACTCCACTTGGGACCACTATGTACCATCTTCATTTTAAACTCAAATTTTGAATATTTTTACATAAAAAGAACGAGTGTCATGATTTACCATTTCTTGGGGAAAAAAAAATCAAAACCAACTATATCACCGTAACCACCCTTATATAGAGTCGTAACAAATTGTAGATGATGGTAAAAGGTGATTTGTATACCATCATGATACACTTTCATACCACTTCAGAGTTAAATAGTGATGGCAATTTGAATACCGTCTTATCGAGTATTATACAACCTGTAGCAGTATGGAGTAGGGCATGGATACTACTTTCGTCGTGCCCTGTCCTGCTCGTGCTTGACTTGTTCTATCTCAGTTTGTCTCATTATCTATTTGTATTTTTCTTATTTTGAAACCCAATGATACTTAAGATAGTGCGGTTCAAACTAACATTTTTACTAACGCAATTCAAGTAATTAGATTCAATTAATCTACTTATCATCTCTATTTTCATTTATTAATTATTTTTCCTTTGTTATACCATTAAAAAAATAAATCTTTGCTTCCAATAATATATTAGCATGGGACCTACCTCGAAACGTACCCGCACGAGTACCACCAGACCTGAAATGCACTTGATGTAGTACAAGTATGAATATCGAGGTAACCGTTCCACCCCATTGCCATCACTAGAGTCAAATCTTTCCTCTTCCATCTTCTTATCTTTCCTAATTATCTTTCTTTCATAAATCATAAGAAAAATAGAAAATTGTGATGCTAACAATTCTTCTTTTCTTTTATGAATGATGTTAACGATTCAATTGTCCTTCTTGCTGTTTATTCTGGATGAATGTGAACAACCCTAAAAAAAAAAAGTGTTCATTTTTTTTATTGCGAGATGTAATGTGATTGGCAGATTCTTTTTGTTGTTTGTAGGGTTGGGAGAATCAATGAATTAAAGCTTAGATTTTTAGTACCCAATTAAACAATGCATGGCACTAGTGTTTTTGCTTTATAATAAAGAATGAATCCCCCTTCAAAAGAGGGAGTGAGACACAGAAGCCCATGGCTTGGTTAATGAAAAAGAAACAACACTCAAGATGAGAATCAAGCCTCACGCCACAATCTATCTATCAAGCCTGAAAAGCTTTTGAAACAAAAGCATGCAATTTGATCATGTACAGGATTATCCACTTTAGGGTGGTTTGGAACCTTTAATTCGGGAAATGGCGTATTACAAGAATGTGCGTATTAAGATTATGTGTATACTAAGAATGTGTGGCTTTTAACAATGCTTTGTTTGGGAAACATAGAAAAATGCATGAATTATATATGAAATGAACTATGATACTAAATCTTACAAAAAAGGTGAGATTAAGTATACATCATTTTCTATGTATTATGAATACATTATTCATTCTCTATACATACAATCGGTGATTCAAACAAGACATTCAAACAAGACAAAAAAAATGTTGTATTCTACAGAATCCATGTATACTCAGAATACAACATTTAGAATCGGAGATTCAAACGAGGTTCCTTCCTTACAAGCCAATCGTAAATAAGGGCTTTGGATTTTCATGCATACACAAGGCAGCAGTGTCTATCTTTACAAAGTATGATCAGTTCCCCTTTTGGATCAACCTATTATCCTCTGGAATCTCTCCATGAGAAATACTATCAATCAATTAGTAAAGATAGGTTTTTTCTTTTTCTTCCTTCTGTCTTAATTTGATTCCCTACCCCCTATCTTCAAAGTCTAGTTTCATTTCATCTCTTCTTTTCATCTTTGATCAACAAAAAAGAAAACCCAAAAAGATCAAGTAAATAGCAAAGCAAAACCCACAATAGCTTTGTCTCCCCTTATGCACAACTTTTCTTTGCTTTGCTTTTGCATGGTGGTGGGGATGTAACTTAGTGCAGGCTCTCAAGAAACTCAACCATTGTGGTTAGGTTAAGCAATGAGATGACAGAAGGAAAAAAAAGAAAGATTAAAAAGCATTTTTCATGGATGATTATGATGATATCAGTGACATATTCTTTTGTTATTTATATGCAAGAGAAACAATGATGTGGTATTATTAGCTTTCGTCTGTAAACCACAAGTGCATGCAGATGAAACTAAGGAAAGAATGTTTTTGGAAAAGAAAAGGACTTGAGGAAGGGGGGAAGCCAAAATGAATGGCCAACACCAAAATCATAAAAGTCAAAATTGGAATCAGATGATCAATCCATCTTTGCATTTTCGTGGAAAGAAGGTTTTGTGATTATTGGAATCAAAATCCCATCATTGATCTTCCAAAGCATGCTTTTTTCCCCACTGCCATTGTTGATCTGCTGTAAACATTTATCTTTTCCTACTTTTCCATCAGGATTTTTCAAACAAGGATGAAGATTATAGATCAGATAAAGTGCCCTACTAGAAACAGTAGCTCATTTGTTTCTGGTAACATCTCGATCAATCAGTAAGTTTTATATTTGTCTGCAGGCAACTGATGCAAAAAAACACTTTCCAGACAAAAACTTGGAAACCAAAGTAGAATGGTCCAGTTCAACAGCAGTTTCTTCCCAAGCATTGTCCTAAAACTAAAATGAAATCAAAAGGCTCACAGTGGCTGCAAGACCATATACCTCACACTCAAAGAAAGAATATATGTTCCTGACTTTGAGTGTGTTTTCCGTTGTTATTATTGTTTTTTATTTTCTCTGGTTTATTTGGTGATCTTTGTGTGGCCAGAATGTTTGAAATGCAAGGAAAGAAGGAAGGAAAAAAAGTGTAAATGAAGTACCTTTCTCTTTAAACCAGCAACTGTACTTGGAAGAGTCTCCCCTTTTGCTCTTTAATATATTCCATAACAGGAAAAGTAGATTCTGGGATGATGCCTAACCATTCCCTTGCTTCTTTTTCATTCCTTTAGATCAGAGTATATGTGAAGGTCCTGTGCATCAAAAGTCACTTAAGCACTCCCTTGTGTAGGATCAATCAATTATCATTCTCTTTAAGGGGAAGATGGAATCAGAGGGAAATCAAGTAATGGTAAACAGTAAAAAAGTGGACATAAAACCCACAAAGCCAAAAGGAACCAGTCACCACCCCAACCCAAAAGAACATTATTGCTTGATATTGTCATATTTTTCATGGAGGGAGCAGAAGACACGGTGAAAATGACGAGAGCAATATGTCACTTGCACTCTATTATTTATTTCCTCTGTAATTTCATCTTTGAGTAAGTGAGTGCAAGCTTTATGGACAGCAAGTAAACACAAATATGCACCAAGCAATAATACAGCTCCAAAATAGTTTCTCCCCCCACCCTTTTCCATAGCAATGTTCATGTGTTGTTGCTATGGAACCGAAAGTTGAGTCTGAAAGCAAATTCACATGCAAGCAAATGTCGACATGTATATTCCCTCATTTTCCCAGGATAATCCAAAAGGCTTCCCTGTTCTTGAAGCAAACTATTTAACCAACAAGACCGTTCATCTAGCTGTTCAAGTCAAGCCACTCATGGGACCATCAGTGAAGAAAACAGAGGTGAAAAAGTTGTCCAAAACTATATTGACGTGAAATGACACCATCTTTTTAACACACTGAAATAAAGTATAGGCTGTGATTATGTGATCAAAGATGAAGAATTTGAGCCATGTCAGAGTGCAACAACGAGTAAAGTGGGAAGCTTTGATTCCCTCATGCCACAAGAAACCAAAAACAATATCATATTCACCATCATAATCTAGCTTAGCAAAGAAATGACCCACAATCTTAAGAGTGAGTTAAATTCTAATTAGGCTGAGGGAATACAGGAAAGTCAAATAAAGCCAAATGTGTAAAGATCAACAAATAAGGATAACAACATGGTCCAAGGTTTTGAAGAAGTCGAATAGCTGAAAGGAAATTGACTTCAAAATCAATATTGAGAAACCAACTACTTGTACCATAGTTTTCTAAGCTTCTGTCAAAGTAGCCATCTCTGTCTAAATGGACAAGATGGAATATAATTAATACATATGTAGATACGAAAGGGTCAAGTCCATCTTCAGTCTCTGGAGAGGTTATTGTAATATGCACATTCAACACAGACTTCTGAGAATCTAATCTCAGAAAGAAAGCTGATTAGTTGAAAGACATGATTGCTCTCCTCACCAAAGCTGTAAATTTGACACTTGCCGCATCAAAACAGCACATGATTTCTAAATATCTCTTTGAGAAAACACCATCGTTGTCGAATACCCCACAAATTGATTGGCCACAGACAGAGTGGGAATCATTCAAAAATATTCCCTCAAATAATTCAGGAGAGACTAACTTCTTTTTCTGATCTTACTTCATCATACTGGTTTCACATTACTTAACCCATAAAAACCAGCCAAAAAGTCAGTAACGAATGGAGATAGGAAGCATCAAGTAATTTCATATATATTCTTCTAAAAGAGATCCTAAAACACTTAGAAGTCAGACCTAGGATTTCGAAACTACATGAGACTGTTGCATACTCACTCGGTTAATTGCAGCAACATTTCCAAGTGTTTGATCCCATCAACAAATCCTCTTCTCACTTTCCCATGCCTGCAACCTCCATTTACCACCCTACATAAGTGAAACTCCAGTTAACTGATTATTGTACAAATTGCACATTCTCCCAATACTAATCAAGTAATCATTGATGAGCCGGTTAACAAAGTCTTGTAATCAAGCACTACTTACTTTTTCTGAAGCCAGTATTTTTTCCAGATTGTATCAAGGTTGGAAACAACCTTGTCACTAAACCACGAAAATCAACCCACTATAAGCTAACTTCACCTCGTGTTGGAGCTATGCTCAGTAGGCCACCTCTGCACTAAAAAGCAGGAACCAAAGAAGAACTGGGATGGGAATGGTTTGTCACAAGATTCTGAACTACCGACGCAGAGAATATTAGTTGTCAATACAGGACAAGCTCAATAATAATATAATGGAGCCCAAAGCCTTGGTCTTGTACTGCCATCGCATACTGATTACACCAGATTCTTCTTACATCTCTGTCATTGAGGCATAGCCACAGAAAACGAGAAACCGGGGGGGGGGGGGGGGGGGGGGGGGGGGGGGGGGGGGGGGGGGAAGAGAAAAAAGGGTCGTTCTTCCTTCATGCTTTTGTTTTTGTGCGCTTGGGATAGGAATTGACAGTCTCCCAACATTTTCAACTTAGCAAGGAGAGCTGAAAAAGTAGGCTGTGCTTCAATATGTAACTGAGAAGGCAGGTGGCTGCAGATTCAAGTCTTACCCGTTCAGGGAAGACCCAAGTTAGTGGTCACCATCAAATATCCTTTGTGAATACTCTCTATATTCTCCCCAAATAATGGACCACCATACCCATCTTGATGCAGAGCCCAAAGGTTTCCATTTCCGTTGGAGGGAATTGTCTACAATCATCCAAAACTTCACATTTTTGGAGTTCAAGAATCTTCAACCGATCAGTAGCTGGAGCGGAAACCCAGCAACTGGGTTGTGCCTCTGTAACAGTCTGATAATAATGAAATGTACAACTCTTCCAGGCCAACAGACGGGTCACAATTGCAGTGAGATTTGCCTAAGCGAAGGACGATTTTAGGGCTACGCTAAAATCAAACCCACAATCAGAAACCCGAAGAAGACGTGGAATTTATCATCTACCCGTCGAGAGGGAGCAATCTTTGGGCATGGGATTCGACTGAAACAGAACAAAGAGAGAAAATTCAAAAATTCCAAAGAGCGGTTTGCCACTATTTCTGATCATGACCCAGATAACTCAATTGAGGGGTGATTTGAGATTGCCATTAACAATCGTCAATTTCTTCCCGTTTTCGCAACAATCTCAATTTCAAACTCTAAATCATTCTCCAGGAAGAACTGAAGCAAACATTCTGCCTACAGCCGTCAATGGTGCTCGTGGAATCCTTGGGAATCACTCACCATCCGAAGTCAGCTTAAGACGGCGATTGAAGGGGTTAACCTCTGCTTCGCGAACGCTCAAGATGTGTCGATGGGGTTTCGTCCGCAAATATCACTGACACCCATGGAATTTCAGCCGATCCTTCGTGTCCACCCCGGTTGAGCTCGCCTGTATTCCGGACCCTTCTCCACCGACGAATGAGCGCCACACTGATCGAGGAGTTCGGAATGGGTTTTAGTAATCACCGTGCAACCTCTTTATATACCATTTGATTAACTATTTTTCTTTCTTTTTAATCTTACGGTCAAGATTCTTTTAGGGTAATTTTGGAAATTAAAAAGTGACCACACCTGATTATTCTATATAATCTACCTAAACCCTAGTTCTATCCTCCCTCCAGCCAAATCCGTCACAGTCGCCTCCACGTACCACTCTCGTCGCACCGCCGGCAGCAGCCCTGACCACCCTCGGCCACCGCCGACAGCAGCCCCCGACCACCCTCGGTACCCTCTCTCTCTCTCTCTACTCTCTCTTCTCTCTCTCGCTGCCTCTCTCTCTCTCTCTACTCTCTCTTCTCTTGCTGCTCTCTCTCTCTTTCTTTCTCTCTACCATCACAACGTACATACCAAATGGACATATTGGTAGTTTTCGTTTATGGATTCAATGTGCAGTGGTATAGATTGTTTATATTGGTAGTTTTCGTGTAATGGTATAGATTTATTTCTGTAATGGTATTGATTGTTTATGGTATAGATTGTTTATATTGGTAGTTTTCGTGTAATGGTATAGATTTATTTCTACAATGGTATTGATTGTTTATGGTATAGATTGTTTATATTGGTAGTTTTCGTGTAATGGTATAAATTTATTTCCGCAATGGTAGTTTTCGTGTAATGGTATAGATTTATTTCTGCAATGGTATTGATGTTTTTCAAAGTGGTAGTGTTTGTATAATTGATTGGTGCTGATTTCGTTTTTTTTTTTTTCAGAAAGATTGAGAAAAATATGGAAAGGAAATCTGGCTGGAGATTACGGAAGTGAGAGAAAGAGAGAATTTTAATTAAGATTTTTGTAACTACCTTAAATGTAATTTATTAAAAAATTAATTAATATAATTTATTTTTCCATACCCAATTTACCCTTAGTAATACGGTGATTACTACTTTTATAGTAATCACCGTAACCTGTCCCCGAGGAGTTCCACCTAGGGGGTGTTCAAATGGTTACTGATTTAGTGTGCTAATAACCAAATCAATTAAGCCAAAATTTCATTAACCATTGAATAAAATGTCTTAATCAAACCGTCCAAATTAACACGAAAATCAAATTAACCAAACCAAAGTTTAATTGGTTTGGTTAATCGGATAATCGGAGTAACCAAATAACATTACATTACATGAAAACTATCATAAACTATCATTATATATAAGCAATAATAATAAGACTATCCATCCATGATTATCATCATCATTCGAGTTAATACATCATTCATATAGTTAGCTTACAACAAACCCTTAACATAAATATTAAGTACATACCAATACTACTCATGAAAGTTAAAGCTCTCCTACAAAACACTTAAACTATACATAGTTTGAGGCATGGTACAGGAAACCGTGCCGTGCCGGTCGGTCGAACCAAATATACCGAAAACCGGAGCATGGCCGGAATGGTAGAGTCATAGTGCCCAAAATACCACACCGGCCGGTTTTTGTTATCAAACCGTCAAACCGCGAAATACCGGCCGATATTGGTCTGACGGTCAGTGAAGCATATTGGAAAAAAAAAAATTAGCCAGTTTCGAAACGCCGCGGTATGGTCCTTGGTTCACAGGGGCCTGATTCGATTTCTTGGAGACAAGGACGAGTAAATCAATAGAGGAACAGGGAGGAAGGAGATGAAGCGACGAAGAAAGAGGAGATGAACATAGATCGACGCTTTTATGGTCGGTTTGGTGGGTCTGGTTCTATTTCTCATCGACGATGTAAGTTGGCGGAGTAAATCAAGAAAAGAGGCACAAGGGGAGGAGTAAATCGAGCAAGGAAGGAGAAGGAGAAGAAGGTTCTATTCTTCCTCCGTCGTTTTTGTTAGACATGCGCAAAAAAAGGGATAAAAGATGGAAGGTTGGGACTTGGTCTGGGCATTTGTTTCTTGGTATTTTTTTCTTTCAGAATAAGAGAGGAAGAAGAGAACGAGGTGAAGACTGAAGAGGCGGCTAGGGTTCCTTGCTCACCCTCTCACTATCCTTATTATGTATTTCCGAAAATAACCAAATGACCCACTTGTTTCTGCATAATTACCCCCTTGCCACCATCATTTTGTTAAATATTTAAATGATTGGAAAGTTTTTTATAAAACATAATTATTGTTTAAAATCTCTTTTTTTCTATTAATTTGCTAACTACTTGTATTTTTTCATTTATTGTCCGGTATATCCTGATACATCTAGTATTACTCCGAGACGGTAATCTGATTTTGCCGACACGGTTTTTTGCCAAAAAATATATTTTATTATTACAAAAACGGTATTTACCGATATGAAATGGTTGAACCACGGTTGTACCACAAAATACCCTACCAGAAAGGAATCCGGTATAATGTCCGTTACGGTTTCCTTTACCATGGTTTGAGGTGACTGTCATGGTATTGTATGTAATTCTAAAGTCTAGTAGTTGTCTTTTTGTTTAGTAAATAGGCAAGCCCATTTAATTTATGACACATAATGCTTTGGTTTGTTGTGCACATGGAAATAAAATAGGGAATCACGAAAATTTGGTTTGGTTGGTTCATAAACCCTGCGTATTTCGATCCATATTCGACGAATTCGGAAAACCGTATTCGAACTCAGTCATAGGACATAGGTGCTTGTGGGCAAGCAACTTCTATATAGGAAATGATAAATATATTCTAGGAGTACCCCGAGAATTCGAAACCGTAAGTCGGGCTCCCTGCGCCTCTGACGGCATGGGCGACAGCTCATAAGGCCATAGAGAAACTATTTATTATTTCTTTGTCTCGAACTTCATGAAGAACTCCATTCTATCTCTCCCTCGTTACGAACAAAAAAGTGGGGCAATAATTCTTACTAAGAAGAATGCCCATGTTGTGGCAATTCCGCCCAGAAGGTAATGGGTTACCCCTACAGCACGTCCTTGTATAATGCTCAAGGCTCTAGGCTGAGTAGTTGGAGCAACTTTTAATTTGCATGGAAGTATAAATAATTTTGTATGTTAGGTGTATATTTAATTGGTTTCATTGGTTAGCAGTGTTGAAACCAAACCAAACCACCTAAACCAAATAAGCTAAATTGTTTAATCAAACCAATTATCCAACTGAACCATATTAACCGAATACTACCGGTTGATATGGTTACCACGATAACCAATTCGTTTGAAGTTCCACCTCCGGTAGCGACCAATATTAGGGATGGCAACAAAACCCGAACCCACGGGTACCCACCTGACCCAACCCGGTCAATGCAGGTAAAACCCGTGTTGACGGGTTTTGGGCCGGGTTCGGGTTTAAACCTGCTACACTATTCCCGGGTCGGGTTTAGGTTTAGGTAAACCCGCCCCATAGGTACCCGCCCACACATATAATTACTTTCCCGGTATATTTAATATTCTAAATAATATATCTTCCTTAAACAACTAGTATTCTTTATGTTTGTGGAGACATGTATAATTTGTTCTTTCTAATTGTTTAGAATGAAGTTGATATTATGAAGTGGAGAGTGAAGAAACTTAGTTGACGAGGAAGAAGCTTTCAAATAATTTTATTGTTTATAGATGTTTATCTTTAATTTTGAACAATTTGTATTGATCATTTGCGGTTTGCTTGTATGCTCTAGATTAGTGTTTTTTGTATGATTAATTTGTATGAGAAAATTGATGTTAAGCTTTTATTTTGAAAGAAACTTGTTATTGTAAATTTTTTACCACAAAAACCCACGGGTACCCATGAACCCGCGGATACCCAGCGGGTTGAATTGGGTTTGAGTTTTTCAAACCCAACAGGTTTTTCCCGGGTTTTTTTGGCGAACAAACCCATGGATTTGGGTTTGAAAAAACCCGCCCCAACCCGACCATTGCCATCCCTAACCAATATCCTTCACGTGGGCCAGAATTTATCTTCTTTGATGGAGACAATCCTTGGTGTTGGGCCAAGAAGTGTGAGGAATTGTTTCTTTTCTACGGTATGCCCGATAATCAGCGGGTTAAGCTAGCGGCATGAGGTAATTAGCATAAATAATTATAAACTTTTTCACTTAGTACAAAACAGTTACAAACTTTTAACTTGTGACCATCACATAGGTATGACGGTTTGAGAGTATAAAAACGAACATTCCGTTCTTTTTAGGATTTCTCAAAAATATCATTGTTTAAAAAAATTACAAAAATACCACCCAACCCGAAAAAATTCCAATACTACCACCATTCTTTGAAAACCGCCACAAGGGGTGGCGGTTTGTTTGAGAACCTCTTAGTCAGGTAGCGGTTTAAATTATTTAAACAAACCGCCACATGTGGAGGAGGTTTAGTGGTTGACCTAGAACAAACCGCTTGTTGAAGGAGCGGTTCTACGTCGACAATAGAAATCGCTCCTTCAACAGGAGGTTTGTCTTGTCGACACACAAACCGCACCCCCCCCCCCAAGTGGTTTGTGTGTCGTCCCCATCCCCCCGACATGTCGGCATGTAGGGGTTGCAGGCGTGGGACTGCATGGCAAATGAAAACCGTACCCTCTCCCAGCGGTTTTCAGTGACCATTTTGCCTATAAAAGGAACCCTGGAAACCTCAGCTCTTCACCCCTCTCCTTATTCTTCTTCAAACATCTGTTGTGCACCTACTTTTTTCAGTTTTTGCGATTAACGTTACTTCGTAAGTTTGTTTTGTATTACCTTTTAATGTGATTTTTTATGGTATTAATTTAGTTACGATTTTATAGCAAATGGCATTCCAAAAGTTCACGTTTGGGTTACAGTGGAATGGTTATACGGAAGAGACCGAAAAGGGGGTACGTTATGTCACTAATAATTTTCATAAAATGAAGGTCGCTACGAGGCCGAACCTTGAAGTGCTCCGTCAAATGTGTACTGAGGTTACTTGCATGGATGGCACGATAAGAGTTGATCGTATGGTGTATTGATATCTAAACAGACATGGCGGGTCGTTGTGGCATGAGTAATTCCTCATAACCATTCAAGAGGAAGTAGATGTCATGGTCGAATTTTTGATCGTCAATAACATTAAACAAGCAGAGATGTTTGTTTACACCTAGGCGGTCGAAGGCGGTGAAGGTCACTCTAGAGATGGCCAAACATCTAGTATCCATGGTGGAGGTGGATTATACAAAGATCATTCCTACCAAGGTTACCATGATACTCATTCCTATCATGAGTACCAAGAAGGAGGTGTAGGTCATCATCAATCCTTCCCATCATATGAAGAAGAAGCTCGAGAATCGCTTAAAACACTATTTTTCCAGGGAATGGGAGGATCATGATGATCGCTTAATACTCCATTTCCTTAGGCATGCATCTCTTTATAAAGAGTCTAAGTAAGTGGCACATTGTATTATCCTAAACAAATGAAAATAATCAATACGATTAACAATTAACAATTTTATTGTACATGCCACTAACTTACATTAACAAAATAAAAAAATCACAAATGAGGATAAATTATATGTACTTTGTGATCGTTCCAAACATCCCTTGAACGATGGTTATCTTGGTCGTATAGCACGGATGGATTAATCGGTGTTTGACCAACATAATATCTTTGGTTGTATATATTCACATCCTCACCAACCTACGATAGCATAACAACAACATAAATTAATTAGTATATAAATTAAATATAAAATAATTGTATCAACAACAAAAATTTGGTAAATGACTATGTAGCGTTTGATAGTCATCATAATAAATACCATCTTCTTCAAAAATATCAGTCGTTTTTGCAGGTAGCCAGATAGAGATTCGACGGGTTTTGAAGGAAAAAACCAAAGAAATGTTTTTTTATGACAGTTCGGACTTAGCCGCAACCAACAAACCATTATTTCCTAGGTTTTTGGATGGAGAGGGGGATAGATAGAGAGTTAATTTGAGAGAGAGAGAGAGAGAGAGAGAGAGAGAGAGAGAGAGGATTGAGTTTTGGTGTGAAGAATGAAGGAGGGGGAGGGGGTTTATATAGGATTCGGACCGCGCCCTCCGCCCACGGTTTCCCTTTCCCAACATGCAAATTGTGCCATCGACGAGCGGTTATCATGGCCAGACGCGGATCCTTGAGCAGGCAGGCGGTCTCCTGTCAGATTGCTCCCTCATCCAATTCCGGGTACCGCCATGTGGGGGCGCGTTTTTCTTTTTGCAGTCCTAAGTGAAACCGCTCCTTCTGCGTGCGTTTCTCACACAAAATCGCCTCCCTAGGTGGTGGTTTTCAAAGAATGGTGGTAGTTTTGGAATATTTTTGGGTTGGGTGGTATTTTTGTAAAAAAATGAATAACAATGATATTTCTGGAAAAAAATCATTATTTTCCATCTAAAATTCTGTTAATTTCATTCGGCAATCCCACGAGTATCCATATCATTAAAAATTTAATAAAAAAAACCAAACCAATTAAACAGAGATGGTTAATAAGCCTTAAAAGTTGAAACAATTGAGTGTGAATGATTGGTGAACAGAATTGGAGAGGTGGGAGGCGAAAGCAGCGACGTATGTTGTTTGTAGACGAGCAGTTCGACGAGTGGTACGACATGGAGTTTGTGGCGGAGATGGTGGCGAAGAGGGAGAGGGAGAATGGGTTGGGTTGTAGTGGGGATGGGTTGGTTTGGGATATTAATTGGATTTGGGTTTGTTTATTTATTTATTTATTTATTTTCGATAATATTTGTAACAAATTAGGCAATCTCACATCAACAAAAGCACGGGAGAGATTTATGGTTCATAAGTGAGAAACCGACCTTAATTGACAAGAAGCGTTTTAGGGTGTAATGGAGGAGTTCTTGTGTGGACTCTGAAGTTAAATGTGCTCAGTGTGGAGTATAACAAGGATGAGTGACCTTATGTGAAGTCACCTTGAATTGCACCCCAAGTCAAAAAACCGTGCGGGTGTAGAGGTCCAAAGCGGACAATATCTTGCTCAGGAAAAGGTTCGGGATGTTGCAATATTGTAAACGGGATTGCTGGCTGGATCAAATAAACAGAGTTTTGAACCTAGAAGGACAGAATGGCCGCTTTGGTATGCACTTAACATATGTTACCATTGTGTTATAAATTAAAGATTTGTGACCGTTTTATACTAAGTGTAAAAGTTTATGACCATTTATGCTAATTATCAGCATGTTATGCATTCAATACATCAATTTTAATTTCAAAATTCGTGCAATTTTATGATTTTATCTGTGGGTTTTGATATTGATTTTACTACTAAATTTTTTAGTGTTATAATACCATAAAATTCCTTTTAAAACTTAAAATCTATAAAATTTAACATTTATATTCCGTTTGGTATAAATGAATTTCATAAGTTTTGAGGAATTCATGAAATACAAAAAGATTTCATTTTCAATTCGAAATTCTGAATTCAGCGGAAATGAAACTAGTTATAGCAATTCCAATGAATTGAGATGGAATTTCCAAATGAATTCCACAAATATTTTACTAATTATAAAATAATGACACATTATCCTTATTTATTAACTAAATTACTTTGCGTCATTTCCTCATTCATTCTGCTAATTGCTCTACCAACATGCAAATCACCTAGTTTGTTATATTTTTGGGTTAGTACCACTACAGAACCCGAACTATAAAAAATGACAATCATGTCTTGATCTATTCAATATTCCGAAAATACCCCAACGTATAATAGTCGTGACTTGTGTGTCATTTGCGTCCTGAATATTTAACTGTTATAGATCGCGGTTGACCAGACGGAGGTCAACTTGACATCAACCAAAAGTTTATCAACTTGACATTGAATTTCGATGATGTGGCAAAAATATGGCAGTCACATAGATGCCACGTCATTGTCACTTCATTTTAATTCTAAATTAAATAAAAAAAATTAAAGAAATCCAACAACGGCCAAAGCTCTCCCCGCTGCTCTAGCGTCTCCGCCTTCTTCATCATCTTCCATGTTCCATCTAACATCTCGCTCATCCAGACAAATCACCGATCTCTTTGTCCTTCGTTGCCATCGATTGCTAGAGATGGACTCGGGAGACGGAGTAGAAGGAGGAGGAGATGACGGGGACGTCTACCTAACCACCACTAGAAAAGCATCCTTTGCATCTCGTTGTCCTTCGTTGCCATTGCTTGCTGGAGATGGACTCGGGAGACGGAGTAGGAGGAGGAGGAGATGACCTCCCCCCCCCCCCCCCCCCACATGGTTCCCTAGAGCGGTGAATTACCTCTACCTTGACCGACAGTCGAGGAGCCTCCACCTTCGGGGGACTAGCTGAAAAGGACGAGGACGTCGAGGGAGGAGAAGACGTTGATGTCGTTGTGCATAAATAAATTGAGGGTTAATAGTCTGATCGCTTTAGTCTAGTATAGTCCGGATATATATATAAGTCATTAAATTGTCCATACATTTATAAATTATATAAAATCTCACCTAAGGGGTGATAATTTATAATATTACATTCAGTTCCTGGATCCACACACTCATATAACATCAATATTCAAGTGTTCAACTTAGAATTCCGAAAATAGGGTTAGATGAAGAGAAAAACGTGTTTTCCAAATTAAAAAGGAAAAACGACTTTGTGTGACCTCCAACCAAGAACTTTCTAACGATCGACTCACAAATATGTGACACCCATTTTTCTAACCGGATCCAGATAAACAAGACTCTGACCCGTGGATTGACAAATTTGCTACACACGATTACCCACTCCAAGTATAAAGCATATCAAGGCGCACTAAAAAGAGAAATATACAAAAAGATCCAGAGAACTCCATCTTCCCAACTTACGTATGGGTCAGGGGCTCAGGCCTAGCCAAGCATCTCAAGTGATTAACACCTTAAACTTCCACCAAACCAACACCAACAAAAAAAAGGGAAAAAAGAATTAAGACAGGATCAAACTATGAGACTCCACCTTCATCGATCATCACCCACGCTAGCCACAAGATTTTCATCCTTTCAAAGATCCCAATTCGGCAATTCCCCAACTTGCAGATTACAGAAAACAGAGGAAGTGGATTTGTTCGATTAATTACCTAACCCAACACGAAAAAGTTTCTTTCTTTATTAACTACTGGATGCTGGATTCACCGCTCGTCGGACTCTCAAGCACCGCCATTGTTGGGATTCGGCGGCGTGTGGCGGCCGTTGGATCCCGACTCAGAATAGTCATTCACTTCAAGTTCAACTCTGCCATGCCAAGACCTTCTTCCAGCCTGCAAGGAAGACAAAATCCATCACTTTCTTCCTTTCTTGTCTTAATTTCAATCTAGAATATTCATTTAGCAATACGCTTATGAATTCTTACCCCGTCAATCACCGGAGAAGATAATGGATCCGCCCGAATCTGTTCCGGCGCTGCAAAAAATGATAGCAGTAAGAAAACAGAGCTATAAAAACCAAAGCGATAAGAACCAAGATTGCAGTTGGTAAGGGGGGAGTTTTTCGTCGATTACAGATTACGGTGGCCGAGGAAGCATTTGAGGAGACGATAAGGGAAGAGAAGAAGAGAATAAGTAGGAGATTGGCCGCCATTTCTACGGTTTCTGTGCGTTGTTTTTTTTGGAAGGTTTCTCCCTGTTTCAGAGTTTGGTGTTCTGTTCTGTTTCTGTCTGGAAATTTATATTCAATTTGACAGCTACATGGGTCGGTTTTGATTTATTTATTTATTTGATATTAAAATGAGGCCTATCGTCGGGATAGTGTGTTCTTACCCAACTTGTGTATGTAGACAAGTACAAGACAAGACATCATTAGTCGCACTTGAAAGACAGAGTGGCATGTTCATCTAGTTTTCTGTGGGTGGTGATAGATAAAATGGCTACTTGGTTGACTATCAACACTGAGAATGGTTAGTTATTAATGAACGAAATTTTGGGCTCGAAGTTGGGATTTCAGATGATGTATTTAGCTAATACATGTAATCAGGAGAATTCATAGTTTTTTTGGCTTAAAATGAAACAGAATGGTTGTATTTGAACAGCAGATGGGCCCACCAGAATCATTCATTATGAATGATTGTCAATCTCAACTTTTAGTAGAGATTGTGTTTGAGGGATTGTTGTCTTACTTTTTGTTCATTATTCTTTGAGAAACCACCAAAATCATTCAATTTCCAAACAATATATTTTTCAAATTCATACATTGAAACAATGCATCTAATTATAATACATACATTGATTAAATACATCAATTTAGAGAATCCTAACTTCCAAACATTTAATTTGATTGCATCTCCCCAATGAGATGGCCATCAAAAAGGGAATAAAAGGGAAGTCTTGTGCTTGTGATGTGGTTAGTGAATAGAGATAGACAAGGAAAGCAGCAAGCATGAAAATAGTATATTGCATGGTCAGTGAGATTACAAAGAAAGGTTCATATTTAGTCCCTATAAATATTTAATTTCATTCGTGGTCACTAAGTTTAGTAAAACAGTCCAAATTTAGTCACTCTCCGTTAGTTTCCGTCCGTCTCCGTTAACTAAGTCCGTTATTTGGTGACGTGTCTAACAGAATGGTATAGTCAACCTAATTTAACCCGAAAATGATGAAACCCGACCCGCCATGCAACCTTGTCCAACCTAACCCTTGAACCAGTCTGCCCTATGAACCGGCCCACTCAAACAAAATAACTTTTACCCCATTTTTATTTCCAGATCAGAAATCCATCTTCTTTTTGTTCATTTTTCTTCCCCATATCCGATGCCCAGAACACCCCAAAAAAACCCCAAAATTGCAAATCCCCTTTTCCTAAACCCAATCCCGGAGAGAATCTCACCCACTTCATTTTGTTAAACCCAGTGTCGGCGACAATCTTGGCCACCGAATCATGACGACAATCCCATCTTTTCTTCTTCATCGGTGGGGGGTTTTGGGTTTCTTCAGCGGCGTACATAAATGTGAGGAGAGGCATTGACCAGCCCATTGTTGTCGTTCTTCCCACTCTCTATCATTTCCCTCCACTCAACAACCAGCTCCAGATCCATAACTACCGTCGAGCACCAACCCCAAATCTCTCCAGCAGGTAGATCTGAAATCCCGCTAATAAATGGCGATGAAGGCGACATCCTCCCCAGCAACCAATGATTGTAGCACGATTTTGGGTCATGTTCTTCTTTTCATCGCCTCTTTTGAAGGTTCCAAGAAACCCAGATCCCAAAATCATTCGATGTGTTAGTGATGATTCACGGTATCAGGCTGGCGAGCTCCCGACACTCTCGACCGCACGTCGAATCAAGATCCGACAATGATGTCTACGTACCAGATGCAGAGGTGAAAGGACGATGGGTGCTTCCTCTCTGGCTCAAAACATCAAATGGAATAAAGCTGGAGTTAAGAGCAGTGACATTCTATTCTTGCTAGTTTCTCGAGGAGAATGGCGTGGGAGCTCCGGGAAGTTTGTAGCATGGCAGCGAGTGCTCCACAAAGGCGCCGGCGGGAGCTCCTCAATGACCTATCGATCCAGCCGCACAAGCTGAAAGCAAAGCAGCATATGATGCCGGGGAAGTCGGTGGCGAATCTGGATCTTACGGTGGAGCTATTGCCGAAGAAATTGGCTGATTAGATGGGTTTTGGGTTGGGTTATAATTTATATGACGTGGCGGGTTTAGATGATGTGGCGGGTCGGGTTTCAATTTTTCATGGTTGAAATTGGCTGATTAGGTGAGTCTGTTAGCCATGTCAGCAAAAAACTGACGGTGTTAACAGAGACAGATGGAGACTAACGGAGAGTGACTAAATTTGGACTGTTTTACTAAATCTAGTGACCATGAATGGAATTAAATATTTTTAGTGACCAAACATGAACTTCTTTTTATAATTCTAGTGACTAACCTTGCAATTTACCCGCCGCATGAAAATATTAATGGGAGAAGTGTCATAGGAAGAAGATGATATAGGACCTTTGGCCTAGTGGCAGAAAAGTCACTCTTTGGCTACATCAGAATGAGAATTTCTGAAAATCAATTTTGTAGATGATTTCGCTTGTTTAATTCCTTTGTTAAGTAATTAACCATGTGTCAATCAGAATTATTTGGTTTAATAGGTATATAACCACAGTAAAAGGCAAGTTCTACAAGCTTCAGTGTGTTTGCGGTACACCTTAATTTACTTCATAATCTTATCTCTAATTGAAACTAAAAATTAGTCTGAAAAGACTCCAAATTTTGAATACATATCCATACAGAAATTCCTTAGAACTGAACTATCAACTTTCACTGCTAAATCTACCTATCGTAAACTAACCATTCCTCGAAAGCACTTCCCTTGAAAATCTGAGGCCGTCGAAAGCACTTCATCCAAGTACATGCACAACAGGTCACACAGTTTCGACATCCATTCATATACAAAAATTGCAAATGAAGCTAGAAAGAAGAGAGAACATAAGCACAACTTGTTGTTCCATACTTCATGGTTACATCTTGAAGTATTTGTAACCGTCCTCAGGGTTTGTCATCCCTTCTTCCCAATCACCCATCTTGCGTCCCCCGAAAACCACTTGTTGAATCCCCAAATACCTGCCAATGTTCAAAGGAAAAGTAAGAGTAGAGTCCGAGTTATGACCTCGAACCAATACGGGGACAACCATGAGGAAAACATTTGCTTACTCTGAACTCAGCACGGTCAAGCAATTTAGCAGCACATCAATGGCAAAGAAATCAGATGTACCAAGGTCTACCCTGTTGCACATGGACAAGATCATGGTTAACTTTCCAGTTCTCTTTTCTCGCACCGACTATGGACAAATGATCATGAAGACTAGTAAGTCAGAACTCATACCAGACTCGCCCCCAGTTATCCTGAAACTCAACATCACCAATGTCGTGGAAGGATGATGGCATCACTTGAAACCCTTTCTCTACATCGTACAGGGGATCATACTCCATTGATGAATTTCCCAACTGCCATAGATGTTGAACATGTAGGACATTCAGTTTTTTTTTTTTTAACACAGCAATAGGGAGAACCTGCCTTCGTAACTGATGACTAAATTGCCGCGGGTGGCATGAAGGTTCATCATGATATAGGTTCTTAGTAAGCTAAGAACTACTTTGACTAAAGGTACACCTACGTGGGTATGGAAACAGAGAACAGAAGTTGAAGGTTTATGTTAAGTGACTAATAGCACTACATTCGCTCCATTGTAAAGGTGCCCTATTAACAAGCTGCCAACTACTAAATTTAGCAAAATCAGCACTGCAGCCTGCATCACCATGCTAACTTATCCGTGATGATAAAGGTGAAAATGTTGAATACGAAAGTTCCCACGCATACTAATGGGTTTGAAAGTACTAAAAACTGGAACCGAAATTCCATGGCTCACATAACTGTAAGTTGTTCACCAAAAGGATAGGGAAAAGGAAGACGGTTTCAAGATGTTACAGAACCACCACTTGGAATAAACAGCAGCAGGATCCAAACCAAAGAGTTAATGAGACCAACTAATTTCTAGGCTAAACCTCAGTGGAACACAGAAACAAGGGACGTGAACTATCATGAGGATGACAAGTAGGGACAGAGGAAAGAGAAAGAAGCAGCCAAACCTGCAGATTTGAAGAATTAAAAGAACCCAAGCGCCCCATTACATACCATGACTGAACAACCTGCATTTTGGGATTATGAAGTGAAAACAGAAGACTAGTAAGTAGCCCGGTCTATATTCCAGCATAACTGCTTATAATAATATCTAGAGCGAAGAGGAGAGGGAGAAGAAAGAAGGGACTCACGCTACCGAAGAGATCCACATCACGATCAGTTGGGGAGCCAAGGAACTCAAACCAAATGTAGGAATCTATGGGGTTGAAGCTACAATCACAAACAAGTGAAGGAAAGGGGAGTAAAACTAACAGTAAGAGTAAATAGAAGTGATCTAAAGGCCAAATAAAGGAGAGGACGGATCACAACAACAACAACAAAAAAGCACATTGAACTCATACATACATACTCTCTAAAGCTAACTTTGAAAGCAAGAACGGAACCAGTTTTGGATTTCTGGAAGTCCCGACCTTTCCTCCTGACCCGTTCTTCCACCTGGGTTTCGACCAGTATGACAAATTTAGACCCGCATAGTGATAACAGATTCGTTAACAAGAGAGCAGCGACTATCAGTCATGGTGGGTAAGATACCCGTTTCCTCATGAGCTCCGGGTTGCCAATGCTATCACCAAGAACAGAGCGGAGCTCCTCGTCGTGTTTGCAAGCATCCTCGAGCACCCTATGGAATTCGCAAACAAGCGCCACAATCCAACAGAAAATATGTAAGTAATTGGGAAATGAAGCTAGGAAGGGACCAGCCATAGATTGAACGAAGCAGCGAGACAACTTACTTAGCCCAGGAAGGATATTGGTGGAGGCGATCTAATTCGCGTTTGGTCTTCTGTTCCCGAATTTTGAGCAGCCGCCGGCTTCGAGCGCTTGTACCGGACACCACAGTGCCAGAGCTGCTGCTGCTGCCAGCTGAAGAAGAAGCGCCGTTGTGGCGGTAATCTGAGGCGGAGGCTTCATAGTTATCGGGATAATCAGAGGAGGAGGAGGCTGGGGGACGCGCGAATGAAGGTGGGAAAGAAGAAAGAGGAGGAATTCTGAGCGAAGAACAATGGTGTGCAAAAGTAGGAAGTATTACACGACCCGTTTGCCAGAATCCCAATCCAAACCCTAAATCTGCCCCCATAGCCATATGTGGTTGAGAGTCCGGCCGCCGATCAGCCTCCTATGGATACAGTTGCCGCTGAAGCTCGACTTAGCAATGCTATAGGTATCTTTCTAGCGGATAATGGTAGAGTGCCCGAAACAGGAAACAGGGGTAATTAGCATAAACGGTCATACAACTAGTCATTTTGTATAAAACGGTTATTAAAATTCAATTAGCACGCCACGTCAACAAATAAATTAATAAACAAATAGTAAAACCAACAGACAAACCCTAACCGAACCAACCACCCGACCATTACCCAGAACAATAAATTCTTTCTTCCCCATCCCGTAAACACTCTCCCATTGAATGGTTTGGTATTTCTCCGCAGAGAAGAACAATGAAGTTTGGATTTTTTATTGCTGATTACTGCAAACAGTTCAATGATATTTTGCTTGCTGATGTAATAGGTTTATATCTGGTGGAAAGCTGCAGTTTATTTAAAGCTGCATTATCGAAATTCGGCTGTGAAACTTTGCTGCCGAGATTTGAATTGACGGTCAGCGGCCGCGGAGGGTAGTGACCGGAGAGCCGATCTGAAAATTGAGCTTAAAAATTGGGAGGAAGAGGGAGAGAGTGTTGACGGGGTGGGAAGCAAGAGTTTACTGTTTTGGGTAATGGTCGGGTGCTAAGTTTAATTGGTAACAGATCATCATGTCAGTATTCTTGCTATCAGTAACTGTCAGTAATCCAATCATATGTTCCCACGTGTCAGCTTTTTCTTTTTATTTAAATTAAACACGGAGTGACACTAAGGTAAAATTGCACCCCATATTTAATGCTTACGCGCTGACGCTGACGCGACGCGGATCCCACTCCCCACCCCATATTGGTTGTCTGGTTCAGTAGTTCCCCTTTTCTCTTACTCTTTGTTTTATTTTATTATTAAAAGAAAAAATATATTATTTCTTCTCTCCATCTACAACAAAAATGAATCTAACCATCCTAACTATCTCTAAACTAATTCCAGCTCAAATTGAATGATGATTTTTTCGTTAAATAATACATTGTTTTAAGACACTAATTACAAGTATAAATATGATTATCACTTTCTACTATCATGGTAAAACATGGTAAAATATGTTGAAGAAAATTACAATTCTAACTACCATACAATACCACATAGTAAAACGTGGTAATACATGGTAAAATATGTTGAAGAAAATTAAAAATCTAACTACCATACAATACCGCATGGTATAACGTGGTAAAACATGCTACAGAGATTTACAAATCTAATTACCATACCATACCATATGGTATAACATGCTAAAATAAAATTACAAATCAAACTACCACCGCATGGTATAACTTGGTAAACCACGCTACAGAAAATTATAAATCTAACTACCATACAATACCACCATAGTATAACATGGTAAATCAAAGGACCACAAATTAATTATAATTACCATATAATACCACATGGTATGAGAAGGTAAAACCATGTAAATCTAATTACAACCCTCTACGACCATAGTAAAAACATGAATTCATAAAAATACATTTCGTTACCATACATTACCATATAGTATAGTCATATTAACATATGGTATGGACACATTACCATATAGTATAGTGTAGTAATCTCAATATATATATATATACAATTACGACTTTCTTCACTTTCTTCTCTCCCTTCATTGTCTTCTAACTCTTCTTTCTTGGAACTAGTGTCGATTACCACCCACTACCACTATGATAAAACTCGTGACTATAAAAATACACTTAGTTAGCACACATTACCATATGGTATAGTGTGGTAATATCAATATATATTCTCAAAGAAGGGGAAACAGAAGGAAGAAGAGGAAAAAAATTCGTCTTCTGTCTCCTCTCATTTACTCCTCCGCAATGAAGAACACCAAATGCAAAAAGAAAGAAAAAGAGGAAGAAGATTAGAATTAGTTCACAAACAAATACTAAAACACAAAAGATGCAAACTCAACTCACCTAGATCTGTCCCCTCTTTGACAATATGGAGCATCATCGATTTTGAGGCCAAGAAAAGAAAAAAAACAGAAGGAAGGAGCAGCTTGAGAGAAGAAGGATTTGGAGCGTCACCGAATTTGAAATGGGAGGCTGCAATTTCTTGATCGATTTTTGGAGAAAAAAATGAAGAACAAGAGAAGAAAGGAGATTTAGATCTGGAAAAAGAAGTTTGGAAGAGAGAAAGGAAGAGAGAAAGAGAGAAGTCTGCTTTTTCTCTTTCCTCCATTAAAAGACAGACATATTAATGCTGAAAAAAAAAGAAATCAAATTAAAAATCGAACAAAAATACCCCTCTTCACTCCGCATGCAGCCCAGCAATATAATAATGCCATCCCTAGATCTACGGTCCGGATTTAATACTGATAGGTCAGTAACCAATGGTTACTGACTCTATCCTCTGCCGGTTCAGTTAGGGTGTGCTAGTTGGTTTTACTATTTTTTTATTAATTTACTTGTTGACATGAAGAGTTTTGAATTTGGACGAAATGAATGATTTGGTATTCGTCCAAACGTGTTTTACTGAAACGTGCAAAATTGAACTTTAGTTATCGTTTTGTACAAAGTGACTAGTTGTGTGACCGTTTATGCTAATTACCCCAAATGATATTATCCCAATTGGATCACCCTTTTAGTCACAATTACTTGCATAGGAAGCTATCTCAACTTACATGAAGAGTTTTGAATTTTGGCTAAGTGTTGGACAGTGTCAGGTAGCCTACTTTGGAGGCTTGGTTCTCTCGATCAGCTCAATGAAAGTTCGAGTTGGATGGTTTGTTTTGAAGATGAAATGTCTATCTATCCATTGGTATACTCTGGAGCTCAAGAGAAAGTCCAGAAGGTCGTTTTCCAGACGTCCAAAGATGCTACCTGGAAAGCTGAAAACTGCCAGAATTTTGCCAAGTCTGGAATCGAGTGCGGGAAGGCAACTTTGGTGCTCAATTCACGATGATTGACTTGGAACCAAGTTTCAAGGTTTATTCCACATGAAATCTTGCATTTTCTACTACAGAAACAAGGGGTTAGTTGACTGAATCAAGGACTGGAAGGCTTTGATCGAGAGCCTTGAAGTTGGCCATGAAGCCACGTAATTTACTTGCCTTATATGGCAACTCTGTCTTTCCTTATTGGACACGGATTGTGTTTCTTTGCTGGACTTTGATTACTTTTCGAGTTAGATTGTGTTTAAACTTCCTTGTTAGTTTGCTAGGTGTAGCCTAGGTCTATTTAAACCTCAATTTGCATTGTAATCGTTAGAGTTTATTGAATGAAATCGTGATTTGTCACCAAATCTTGTGTTGTTGGTTGTGCTCCAGCTTCGTGCTTGCTTCATATCAATTGAAACCACATCAATCGTGGCCAAGCTTTGACCTAAAATCAATCGAGCCTCTTCCCAAGTGTGAAGTTGCACCTTTGGTCATTTTCGTTTAAGTTTTGTTCAAGTTTTTCAATTCCTTCTTCGACGGAATTGGTGTTGCACGTATAAAGATGGCTATGCCTGATCCCCTAAATTTACTCTAAGTACGATATAAATCGTCATATTTACATATCTCACTCACATAAGTTGAAATGATGTTGACGATTTGAACTCACATGAAGATTGGATATATCTCTAAGTAAAGATAGAAGTTTAACACCTACCTAAGGGGCCAGGGAGAGTACTACATTGATAGGTTTTGTTGTTGTGGAAAGAACCAAGTTAAGATACCGCTGTGAGGGTAGTAATGAACGAGTTTGATGTTTCATATTCATATTGATCTTATTTTCGGAAGGAAAAAAATCCACATTTATCTGATTTCATATTTCACACCATCCCATTTCTTATAGTTAAAGCTAGCTACGAGATCCCGATGTTGAGCTATGTCTCCTTTTCTCTCCTTTAAAACACTAATTATTTTATTGGTGAAACACTAATTAATTTAATTAAACATTAGATAAAAAATAAATAAGGTATGTAGGTTATATGGATCAGCATGCAGTAAGGTAAGTCAAAACAAGTCCTTTGAGCCAATTAAGCTGAAATTGTCAGTGCTACATGGCGTGGTCTTTTTCTTCCATTCTCCATCTAATTTATGAAAAAATGAGAGAATTATTGTGAACAGTAGATCATCGAAAACTATTCCAATTAAGACTCTCGGTTATAATACAAAATCATCTTGCATAAGAAATATACTTATTCAATGAGAAGAGTAAACTCAAAAAATAAAGCACAACAATAGAAGAAAAAGTTTCTTCTAAAAAACTAGAAATGTATATCCGACTTATTCAGTTTTCAAATGATAGAAGCTGTTAGAAATTTTGTATGTGTCGCTAATTAATTAAGTGGTCGAAATATGAATATCGAGCTTTCGTTCTTACACCTTGCTCATATAAACCCAACAAAAAAATTCACATCAAGCATATGTGTATATATATTATGTACATCATGCGGTTGCGTCAAAACTTTTAGAACATATAGATATCTTTTATGAGAAGCCATAAGATTAAAGAGTCCTCGGTATTATAGAAGTTGCTACTGCTTCTTGGCCAGCTTTTATCTAGGAGGTGGTGGTGTGGTGAGACTTGTGGCGTTTTGTTTTTCCCTTATCCAAACCTTGGTGTTGCTTTTGACCCTTTGAATCCAACATGGACATGGAGGGATTCTTGACTACTAACTGTTGGTGATCTAGATGGCGCTTCTACATCTTTCAGAAAACTGACCTTCTTTTTTTTCTAACCAATCTTGATGATTTAGGGGACCTTAGCGTGTTAATGTTCCCCTATTACTCTTATGTAGTAGTTGTGGTTGTTGTTGCCCCCTTTTCCGAGGCATGGTGAAGCTCATTGCTAGCAGCAACATCTTGGCTCCGTCGCTCCTTCAGAAATTTGAGTCGGTTTGTCAACTTCGTTAGTGCGGTTGAAGATTTTAGTTCCTATTGAAAATACACAGGTGTGGCAACTACCATAAATAAACCTATTCTCAAGCATAGTTAGAGGAAAGATCTTATTACTTTTCATGAAAATGTAAATTTATGGTTTTTCATTTGCATTCAAGTGGTGACAATAAACTATAAAAAGTACTTTTATGCTCCCTACTATTATAACCATTCTTGAATTCTAACTAAGATGTGGACTTATACGACCTTACCTCAGTTT